CTGTGCTTGCATTGTCTGTTCTCACTTGAATGTGATGAAATTCTTTTGTTTCCCGAAATTCCTTTGTTGCAATTCTTCCCAGATGTGCTCCCAAACTTAAAGCTGAAGCATTTATGGTAACGATCACCCTGACAAATTTTCATCAGTAGGTCTAGAGGCAAGGCCTTTCTGTTCTATTCTACTAGAATATTTATCTGCAGAGGCTGCATTCTTGCATTGGCCCAGTTAACATCCAGAATTGTAGAGGTATGTAGCCATATCACTTCTCTCACGGTACAGACATTCTTTGTCTCTAAAGCCATAATTGACCTGAAGATATTTGTTCTCTTTTCTGTTGGAAGAAAGACTTCCATATGAACCGATACGATCCCAACATTTTATACTTCTTAAAATTCAGCCATCTAATCTTAGACAAAAAGAGTCTGTTTCATTATCTTTGAGGAGTTGTAGTCTTGAAGATGCTGTGAGAAGCAAACTGTCTAAATACAGAACAATATAGAGACCATCAGAACTTTGGTAAATACCTAAGGGGCTGAGGAGACACCAAATAGAAGAGCTCTGACCTGTTAATGTAGCAGTTCTTCTTTCCATTTGATGCAGAATCTTAGGGTCTTAATTGTGTTGTTAGTCGTCCTTGAGGTTTATGATCTTAACCAAGCCCCTTCTTGAGTCATGTGAGTTGTATGGACTCCATTCCGAATTTTTTACATGACTTCTTTTAGGTCTAAGATGGGTGTGAATGACTCATCTGGAATTTTCATTAAAAATAGCCTTGCGTAGATTTCTGAAGCTGTTTTGGGAGATTAAACTGCAGAACACGGAAATTTTCTTGGAGGATAATCATTGAATTCTAATCCGTAAGCGTTGGAGAAAACATGGGATGAGAATCCTTTCTCTGCTAACCTTGCCCTTCCAAGCTCCATGCCATGCCATGAGGAGATTGAGAATCTTGATGCAGTACAGGACCTTGAGACAGAAGAAGAGGTTCCTTTGGCAATTCTAGCGGTGGACTTTGTGACAGGGAAAGCAGGAGAGAAAACAAGGGTCACCTCACTCAGTATGGGATAGTTGCAATAACTCCCACTTTCCCTTTCTGAACGCTTCTGAATAAAGGAAAAATAAGTGGGACTGGTGGCATATTCTAATCAGAAAAGGGCTGGTCATGGCATCTGTCCACTCTGCCTAGGGTTCAAACTTTCTTGACAGGAATCTGAACTTGTTTGCAGCTTGTTGTTAACATCAATTTCACCTGAGCAGTTCTCCAATGATTGGAAACCTGAAGGAAAACTACCTTTGACAATGACCAGTCTCCTGGATCCAGGTCCATTCTGCTGAGGAAATCTGCTGTGGTCTTTTCTTGACATGGGACATAAGTGGCAGTCAGTCCCGCCAGATGAACTATGATCAAGCCATAAGGGGATGGAGAATGGGCTTTCTCATCCCTCATGATAATTTAGATAGGAGCCCACCGAGATATTGCCTACCCTTATCTTCATCCATTTATTTTCCAGTAGATGGCTGAAGTGATGAAGAGCTAATCAGACTGCTCGCAGCTGTTCAACAGAATCATCCTCCTACCTGTGTGCAATCTGCCAGGGTGCCAAACCCATTTCCTCCGGCTAGTATCCGAGATAATAATCTTCCATAATACTTTAAAAGAATAACCTGTGCATAGATAGGAATCCCGAAGTCACCATTGGAGAGCTAACTTTACTGAACGTGGAACTGGAATTTGAAACACCATCAAGTTTCAATTAAAAAGGTCCAGTAACCATTGTTGCGGTACACTCATGTTCCACTTAGCCCTTTTCGTCAATAGGATAGAAGATGAAAGGGATCCTACCAGACTCAACAGTTCCAATAGACCCTGATAGACATACTGCTCGAAAGGAGTGTATTCTTTATCTTTTTCTGCAGACTGAGGTCCGTCTCCTTGGGCAGGGACAAAGTAGCAGTGATAATGCTGTGATCTGCTCCCAACTACATAAAACTTTGTGAGGGATTAACATGATTCTTCCTAAGTGTAGAAAAAAATTAGATCTGGTCTCAATCAAAGAACTGGTACCAGTACTCACAATGTTACCACTATAGATATTCAGGTCCTATGTGTAGCAAAAATAGAAAAAAAAATAGAAAAAAAGAAAACTATTAGATTGCAATGACGTATAGAAGTGCCACAACGAATAAAAATGAACCACAGATAAACACTTAATTGTGATAGTATTACACACAGTGAAAAACAAAAGTAGGGATGCACATGGGCAAAAAATTTGGTTCTGTTTGGCACGTCCGAAATTCGGGACTTCGGTTCAGTACTTCTAAATATGGCACTTCGATTTGGTTCAGCACTTCAGGTCTTTGGCAATTCCCTAACCCTAATAGGGTTAGGGGTATGGTTGTGGTTAGGTGTGGGTATAGGGGTTTACATGTTGGGTTAAAGTTAGATTCCGGTCATCATTCCCTTAATTTTCCCTCCCTCTCCTGTTTTGCCACTTTTTAGAAATCCGAAGCACTTCGACACTTCCGAAATTCGGCAATTCGGTTTGGCACCTACGAAATTTGGCACTTCGGAAATTTGGCAATTCCAAAGCATCCAAGACTTTTCCAGGGCTGCACCTCTTCTGTGAAACTCCCTTCCCTCCTCCATAAGAATTTCACCCAGTCTCCACTCATTCAAAAAAATCATTGAAAACTCACTTCTTCAAGAAAGCATATCAATTAAACTGTTAGCAGGTTTTCATCCCCCACCCTCCATGAATCCTCTCCTGCAACTGTCAAAAATTACCTAGTAAGCCCTCAGCGATTACCTTTCTAACATCTTACTTCGTACCCCTACTTTTACCCTTTGTGTCACTATACCCCACTCCCTCTAGAATGTAAGCTCATTGAGCAGGGCCCTCCAATTCTCTGTTCATGTACATCGAGTTGTCCGGTTACTATTAAATGTCTGTTATTCCACCCTTTATACAGCGCTACGGAATCTGATGGCGCTATAAAAAAATAAAATAATAATAATAATTGTCTCGGCAAAGGAGAAGTGTTCACTAACACAGATTTAGACAGATTTGTGAACAATATTTGAGAGAAAATGGCCTTTTGTGTACATAGAAAAAGTCTTAGATCTTTTAGTTCAGCTCATAAAAAGTGGGGGCAAAAACAAAAGTGTTGTGTTTATAATTTTGTTCAGTGTAGAATAAATTTGATACGAAGTAAAAATTATATTAAAGGACCACTATAGGCACCCAGAACACTTCAGCTCAATGAAGTGGTCTGGGTGCCAGGTCCATCTAGGGTTAACCCTGCAGCTGTAAACATAGCAGTTTCAGAGAAACTGCTATGTTTACACTAGGGTTAATCCAGTCTCTAGTGGCTGTCTCACTGACGAATTTTCCTACAGTGGTCCTTTAAGGAAAAAGAGAGTATAGGCTAAATAAAAGGGGAAAATGAAAAGCCTTCATTAAGTCCCTTTGGACTTAGTTTTTAGAGTTTATATATCCACCGGCATTCCCTTTGTCTTGGGGGTCTATCAAAGTCACCTCTTCTTAGATCTTTTTTGCAGAGTTCAAGTCTGCAGAACTTCAGTGTAGGCTATTTAGCAAGCGAGCGTAAGCAATGTTACTGGGCATTTTCCCACACAAGACCTCATTACTCCCTATTCCCTGTCTATTACTGTGGCGGCTGTATACTAGACTGCTATTAGGGGGACTGCCACAAAGCAGTAAGGTGGATTGGTTCAGGTTATCTAGCAAACAAGCAACGTTATTGGGCATTTTCCCATGCTAGACCTTTTTACTAGAAATGTAGAAAGAAGGAAGCAGCGCTAAAATGGACCAATCCTATAAATAGATAGAGTAAGAGGCAGCAACCTAAAAATAGGGTTCCCTCTAAACAAAGGTAATATACAAGACAAAACAGAAGAAGGTTGTGCCAAAGCTGGCTAAAGTGCAGCTGAAATGAATAAAGTCCAAAATGTACGTGGTGCCAAAACAAAGTCTTTTGTTGGGCCTGATGAGGCAACGACAGCCTATGTGAAGGAATATTCTCTCTAAGGGTTGCTTGAAGATGGTTTTACAGGATCCGTATGTAATGAAAGAAACAAACAATAGTGCAAATACGTCTGATACGAGGGTTTATATGCAGGGAGAAGAGATCTATAGTAATCCTACTCACGTGTAGTAGAGCTGAACTAGCTCTAGTGTGGATGGCATACAGCGGTACAATCCCCGCTTATAGGATACATAGAGAAGTATTGGTCTTTTACTCCTTATATGGAATAGAAAGACAGATGATAGGGCAGGAAGTCTGGTAAAGATAGTGTATATAACAACAGAGTCTAAGTCTAATACAGTCCTACTCACGTTTAGTAGAGCTTAAACCAGCTCTAGTATAACCTTCTACACGCATCCTACAAGCGGTATAATCCCCGCTTGTAGGATGCGTGTAGAGGGTTAAGTCTTTAGCCGATATGTAGATCATAAGGGAGAAGAGAGACAACTAATAGTGCTCACTGTATAAAAATTCATATAAGAAGTATAAATAATAAAATGTGTACTCATATAGGATTGAGCATGCCTGCTCAATGACTCAGGCATAAGTGGTATAATCCCCACCTCGGATGTCTTTGGAGTAATACATAGCAGGAGAGATAAAATCAAGATACCAAGCAAAATTTAAAAATAATTAAAAAAAATTTAAAAGAGTAAAATGGCACAATCAGAGTGATTTAAAAGTAGCCAAAATACCTTTATTTAGAATAGAGAGTAAAATATATCAAATATCCACAACGCGTTTCACCTATAGTGGCTTTATCAAGTGGAGATAAAAACCTACTAGACCTTTTTACTCCCTATTCCCCTCCCGGTTCCGGTCTATTTCTGCGGCACCTATATATTAGATACAAATGCAGTATTACCGTGATATTATATTATTTGGTATATATTTTTTTTTACCCCCCGCATTCATTCTAAATTATACTAGATTGTATTTTTAGGAGGCTTCTTGTCATGTAGTACTTATGGATTAATAATCTGGCTTACAACTGGTTAAGTGCTCTCGTTTACTATTTATTATATCTACTGTGCACCTAATATAGCCTAGAATTCATAAGGAAACAGATACCATGAAGTGACACTGTTTAACCTGGCAACACTGTTTTTGTATAAAACAGCCAGGTGGATAACTTTTGGTTACAATCATTTCATGATACAATCTATTACATATCTAGTGTTTTCACTACCTTATGTACATCTTTGAAAGCAATCAGTTCCCTTTTTAATCACTTTTGTTTTTCACTGTGTGTAACACTATCACAATTAAATGTTTATCTGTGGCACTACCATAATTCATTGCCATCTAAAAGTTTTCTTTTTTATTTTCAATTCTTGCTAAACATAGGACCTGAATATCTATAGTGGTAACATTGTGAGTCCAGTTCTTTGTGAGTCCAGTTCTCAATTTTTTCTATATTTGTACTTCAGTGTTATGCCCAGGTTATCAACGTAGGTATAAAGAAATCTGCCTCAAGGAGATGTAGCAGCTCTAGAAAAGAACAGTGTTGATCAGGAAACCAGCGTCTTATACGGACAGCAGCAAAATCTTGGCAAAAAAAGAAGCCTGGCACCCACCACAAGTTGGACTGCAACTCCATCAGGACTGTCTTCCAGAACGAAAAGAACAAGAAGTCTTAGGATTACTGGGCCTGACAGATAACTTTCAAGATGCCAACCCTGTAAATCTGGACAGTTCTCACCCTGGGTGGTACTAATGCTTGTCTCTAAAGGCGCCTTGATCTCTAAAAGAAATCTTTCTGATTAAGGAGCTCAACGAGGTCACTTCTCGAAGGAGAAAAGCCTTCCTAAAAGTGGTCTTCCTTACTAAACAAAAGATGGCTGAATCTAACTTCAGAAATTAAATCACATGAGACTGAATCAAATGATTTAACAGGATAAAAGTGAGAAAACTCCCCTTGTATAGCAGTTTTTTTTCTCTGACATCTTCCACTCATCGGAAATGAGCACACTAACACTTCCTTTGCAGATCTGGAGAATGTCTGTTAGAGGAAGGCTCCTCTTTTCGAGACTCCTACAGACTTAGAGGTCTTCTGAGAGCTGCAATGAGTTGACTCATTGGGTTTGGGCTTTTCTCATGCATTACCAGCTTCTCTGATCCCCCGAGAAACAGCTTCTTTAATAAAGCTGAATACATCCAGAGAATGGAAGGCTGTCTCCATGGCAGCTTTGATACAAGAGGAACATAAATGCTTCCTTTCTAGAGCTTTATTGTCACACGTTCGCATCGGATGGACTTTTATCTCCTTTTCTTCAAGGAGCAGAAAAATGGATTGAAAGAAAACGAAAATTCACAAGGAGAAAAATAACTCCTGGTGACAAAGGTCCAACTTAATAAATCATACAAATTCAGCAGAAAACTTAAAATTTACAGCTGCTATGGCCTTAAGTGATGTCAAAAATGAAATACTTGGGGGGAGGGGCCTGGCAAGCATGGCAGACAGACGTGCAGAGCATGTGCTCTCCACATAATCCTCAATTATTTTGTTTCTAAAGAGGATTAATATTCACCAACCTCATCCCAGCGACTACTTACCTAATCCAGCATGCAAGGGAGCTAATCTGTGCAAATTTTACGTCTCACTTTCTAACTTGTGGCACAAAACTCTGTCTGTGACCTACACAGCCTGGTGTGCTTTGCGAATAGGAGAAACGGCCAATCTCCTGGCTTGGAGCTACTTGTGCTTTTTGACCTCTACAGCAGTCAGCCCGTTCCTCCCTCCTTCCCCTCCCCCCCACCCCCCATTTGAACCGGTGGGGGATATTCCTCACCAGGGAAGCAGTTACCACTGTTTATGAGGCACATCATCCATCCAATCTAAAGCTGTGGCACTGCCATAATGGCGAACAAAATAATAGCAGAGAGATCAGCAAGAAGATGGGAAGCTACATCCCAGACAGCCTATGAAGCAGCTTGTGCAGTATCCTGGCTCTGTACTTATAATAATGAGTCTCATGATAGAGAAGCTAAACTCACCCTGCCTGCTGCCTTTTTGACCCACGGTGAAGTCCCAGCATATCGCTCCCCCCCCTTGGTCAAGTGCCAAGATGGACATTTTATCCATCAGCTGCCCAAAACCTCAAAGGACTACCTATATGGAGTCCCACAGGACTATGAGCCAGCCACAGGCTATGGAAGGTTAAGTGGACTTTCAGTACGGGCTCGTATGCTGACTTGGGCTTGGAAAGTGGAGCAGTGGGGTGCCAATCTTCGCAGACTGGTGTGTCCCATCCTGCAGGGATGGTACAGAGGCAGCATTATTCCCTGTTATTCAGCAGTTCCTGAGTGGATTCAGAGCCAGCTCCCAGATAAGGACTAACTGTGGCATTGGCTAAATGCTTGACAATACTTATCAGCAAGCTTGTACACTCCTATAAGTTACTCATTTTATTTTTTTCATGATTTAAGATTTGTATTTTATGAGATGTGAGCCTCATGTTAGCTTAACATGGTCCGTCTCTTTCTGTTGTTGCATACACAGAATCTACCTGGGAGCTCATTTAATTTCTCTTACTTGCAGTTTCTTGTCTAGCAATTTTAAAAATATGAATTAGTTGGCCCAAGCGTGCATGCACAATAGGACCAGAGAAAGAGAGAACATAAAATGGACTCCAACCAACTAGTTTTTGCTCCTTTGGCAGTAGCGTAAAAATGTGAACCGCCAAAGAAGAAGTATAACAGAAGACGAGCACCAGAAACCAGAGAGAAAGTCTAAAACAAGGGTCAATGCCTTAAAGGAGCACTACAGTGCCAGGAAAACAAACTTGTTTTTCAGGCACTATGTAGTCCTTTGGTTCCCCCCCACCCTCACTTATCTTTCTCCACCGCCGGGCTCCCTCGGCGCTGGGGAACTCTCCACCTCCTGCCGACGAATGTGCATGTGCGCGCGCATTCAAACCGCCCATAGGAAAAACATTACTCAATGTACATCCAGCGTCTTCTCACTGTGATTTTCACAGGGAGAATTGCGGAAGCGGCCTCTAGTGGCAGTCAGTGAGACAGCCACTAGATGCTGGATTAACCCTCAGTAAAAACATAGTTTCTCTGTAACTGCTATGTTTTCAGCTGCAGGGTTAAAACTGGCACGCAGACCACTTAATTGAGCTGAAGTGGTCTGGGTGCCTATAGTTGTCCTTTAAACTGTTGCCCTCATACAAAATCCAATCCTGAGAAGGGGATAGAGGGATCCAAGCTACTGCAATAGAGAGTCAATAAAACTAGACACCCCCAAAGCCAAAAAAGGATTGATTAGCATAGAGCTACCTGTCCCGGGAGTGTGGACAGGAAAAAAATACAGCGGAGGAGAGAAAGGAGGATCTTATGTATTAATTTGTTATTTATTATCTGTCCAATTGGTTTTTAGAGGTGTGGATATACACATACTGATGCTGCCATGAATATGGCTTGGAAACTGATGAGGGAGATCTGCTGTTCCCACCACATAGATTGGATGCTTGTCTGGATTTGGTAATAACAAATCATAATGACAGTTTGTTATATGTTCAAGTAAAGGAGCACTTGGAAAATTGTGACCATCATATGGTGTCATTTGTAAAATATTTTTTTTAAAAATCCATTTTGGGTTCTCAACCCAGTCCTCCTGGACTGTTAGTGGTCCATACTTTGTAATCTTAATTGGAATAAAAAAGGGAAATACGTAAATCCTGGATCCTCCATGAGGACTAAGTTGGGGACCACTGCATATAACTTTAAAAATACAAATTTCAACAGGATATGGGTAGCTTTGCAACTCATTGTCAAAAACTCTATTCAAAGAAAACCACATAGGATAAATGTAATGTCTAATCAATATTGGAATAACTAAAAGAAAAAAAAAAAAAGTACACTTCAGCTTCCCAACCCACCACTCAAAGAGCCCTTTTTGAAGGTGACCACAAGAAAGCACACATTGAGAGCCTCTGGAAGCAGTAACTATTGCAAATAGCATGCTTATCTTCCATTGGGGTACTATGCTGTAGTGGTCGACTTAAA